TGCCAGCTACTTTTGGTACCTTTTCTTCCAGAGAAAATAAGTAAGTCAGTTCTTCTCATTTCGCCACTCATCACTGAAAGTGACTCACCCACACTTCTAGTAGAGTGACTCCTTTTGACTCCAATAGCACTGGCAGGATGTTATATCTCCACTACTGAGACTCACAGAAATCTACAAGCAATTTAGCTCAATATTCTAACTGTACAGATGCAAAAACTGAGGCCTAGTATCTTGGGTTTTCCTCCAGAGTTCTGGGCTGACAGCAAAGACCAGTTCTCTTCTCTCCTAGCCCAATGTTCTTTCCACATTTTATTTCAGGAACTTTATTTTGCATTACTGATAAACTGATACTCAAGAGTAATATTTAATGTATTGCTGCTAAAGTTACCATCTTAAAGGGTTTTATAGTGAGCAGTCTTCTGAGGAAGACCCAAGATACAGCAAAAAACACAAATAAATCCTCCTTGTTCTGACTAGAGGATGAAAAATGATCCCAATATTCAATATTTTTGAAGATACATTTACCAACTCCTGGGTTCCATACCTAGGAGCACCTTCCATACCAACGCTCGGTACATGGATGGAAGAGGGAACCTCTGGCTGAAAGTGCAAAGTTTCTCAATATCTAAAGAAGAATGAAACAAGTAGTTAGATGCTTTTCATGCTCATCACAGTACGTAAAATACATTTCACTTTTTAAATCTGAAAGTACAGTTCAGATATTTCTTCAAGAGAATCGGCAAATTTAGGAAAGGCAATATTGATCTGGTTTTTAGATACAGTCTTCCAACAACTTAGCTATTCAAAACAATTATAATCAATAGCATAAGAGAGGCATTTGGCATATATTTATTACATTCCCTATAATATTGGTAGCAGTTAAAATTATAGGATTTATTTCATTTAATCCATACTATAAGTATGTTGGGTAGTAACAGTCCTGAAGATGCAGAAACTGAAGCTCAAGGTAGTTAAGTGACTCTGCCAATTCCGATAGCTACTAGTGGTATAGTTAGCCTGAAAATCCTGATAAATTATACTTAACAGCTATGAGCCTCTATTTCTCTACTTATTAAAGGAGAAGAATAATGCCAGCATACTTAAAACACAGACTATATAATGAGGACTAATGACCAAATGATAAACATTTGTGAAACTTTATAAACACTCTAGATGGGTTGAGGATGTAGCTCAGTAATGGCTTGCCTGCCTAGCATGCATAAGGCCCTTGATTCAATCCCAGCCCTGCAAAACAAATAAACAAAAATTACTCTGTGTAAATAAGATATTATTTTTAACTATGGTTTAGCTTGTTCCACTTTGATCAACGGTGGGCTTTATTATTACTAGCCTAAAATATCAAT